TCTGACAAGAAAGGCCTAAAGAAGTTCTTGCCAGCAAAACTTGAAGAGATAGATGTCCTCTTCCCAGAAACTAAAGAAACTGTGATAAAACTCTGGAAAGATTTTTATGCATTTTACAATTTAATCAATTCTGATCCTACTACTAATGACTTCTACCTTTATATTTTTCAGAATTCTTAAGACTTCGTACACTTGTTCTGTTCAATCAGTGGTTTCAGAATAGGCTATGCAAAGAAAAGAGTTACTCACTACATGCATGCACTAGTATATCATGTTCCAATGTTTATCAAAACTTTAAATAACTTCAGACAGTTCACTGGCCAAGGCACTGAAAAGAACAATGATGATGCTAAGAAGATATATCTTCAAAATTCAGATAAGTGGGATGCTGTTTGGGATGTTCTTCTTCTGGAACACAGAAAAGTACATACAACATAAGAAATGCAGTTTACTGGGAAGATGGCATCACTCAAACATGGAAAAAGCAAATAAGAGTATGCTTGAGAGATCTCCTAGCAAACCATAAAGAAGCTGAGGACTGCAACAGAATGACTGTCAATTGGATAAGACAGGAAATAAAATCTAAACATTTTACAGCACCTGGGATTGCAAGGATGAAAAAGTGTCCACTGGTTGAGCTTTTGAAGACACATTAATAACTTTTAGCAGCAAAAAAAAAAAACAAAACAAAGCAAAAACAATAAAGATGTAGACATGTTTCAGTATTTAATTTCATTGATTGTACAAATATGTAAATAATTTTCATCTGTATTTTAATATGTAAATAACTTTCATATGTAGTTTTATATGTAAATAATTTTCATCTGTATTTTAATATGTAAATAACTTTCATCTGTAGTTTAATATGTAAATAATTTTCATATGTATTTCAATTCCTTGAAAAGAATACACAAACTTCTACCTGTTTGCTTGTACATGTATACATATATATATATATATATATATATATATATATTTTCAAAAATAATTATTATTGTCAGACAATGGATTGTATTCATATATGACAGATTATTGTGTTCGCCTACCCTAAAGAAAATTAAATTTTTGTGGAATTACATGCTATTCTGTTGAAATATAACACAACTTTCTCAACTGGAAAATTTGGCACTAATTTGATTTGACCACTACATGACTTGAATCGCGAGAAGTTTTAAGCTTAAAAGGAAAGTCAACTGCTATTCCTTCTCCAAGCTCATTTATAATGAATAATACCACATATATGAAGGAAGCTCTAGGCGAGAAAAATCGTCTTTTTTATTGAGCATGCTAGCTCCATCGTGTGCTTTTTTTACTTTTTCCTCTTATAACATATCTAACAATATCATGATCCACTCTCAACTCAGAGGGATAATTAATTTTGATTGCATTCGACTTCAGGATAGATAGGATGCCTTCCATACACAAAGCTGACACACTCTGTAACCTTTCCACGGAGACAGGAGGGTTGCTGTATAAGGTCCTATAGGATTGTTAATTGAAAGAACGCATTAGCTTTGTGTGGACCCAAGCTGCATGCACGGAGGATTATTTCTCGCACTTTCCTAAAACAAACTTAATCTAGTACCTGATAAGTTGCTCACTCAAATGAGCTGAAGGTTCTCACGTGCTGGTACAAAGAGTCCAATTCTTCCATTTCACGAGAAACTCAAAGTCCTGAAATTGGTAAAAAAATATACTCAGTTTGTTTATAAAATTGACTTCAACTATGATATTTTTCTCAACTATAACATTTTTGTATCTACTGTTCGAACATTTCATACCTCGTTCTTCGATCTTCTCCGGATAATCAGTCTCTCGACCAAATAAAC